GAGAGAGAGAGAGAGAGAGAGAGAGAGAGAGAGAGAGAGAGAGAGAGAGAGAGAGAGAGAGAGAGAGAGAGAGAGAGAGAGAGAGAGAGAGAGAGAGAGAGGTTTGGGTTGTGAGGGTTGCGACTAGGGTTGGGGTTGGGCTAGGGTTGAGGCGACGAGGCACATGCAGACACCACGTCTGGTTTCTAGGCGCCGTGTGACAACCTCCGAGTGAGCGGCGGGATGTGGCGTCCGCATCTGGGCATCGCGAGCCAAAGAGGGCGCCGCGCGCGACAGGGAGCGAGGCGGCCGCGTCAGTGACGACCGCGTCGAGAAACCCAAAGTCGTCGAGCTTGTTCGCCTTTGCTTCGCCGCAGCAGGAGGGCGCGTTCCAGGAGCTCCACATCCCCTCAGGCGCCAGCAGCGCGAACGAGGCGGCCTCGGCTGCAGCAGCAAACTTTCCGAGCTCGTCCCTCGCGCTGAACCCAGGGCGGGAGGCGGCCGTTGGTGCGTGCAGCGGTGGGACGAGCAGTTAGACGGCACCTGCAGCCGAAGCAGTGCACGAGGACGAGGAGAGGAAGGCGCAGGGCGGAGAGCGTCTGGTGAGCCTCGCCGTCGGCTTTGCCGCCGCCGCACGCGACGCGGGGCAGGAGGTACAAATACTCGCGGTCGAGGCCGCCGTGGCGCAGCGACTGGCGCGACACGCGGCCACAGGTCGGCATGGCGGTGTTGAGGGGGAAGAGGCGGGGGCGGGGGGGGGGGGGGGGTAGCTGTTGATGGTTCGATCCTCCCCAGAGTCGAACGGGCAGCCACTCGCACCAAGGAGGCGAGGTGTGGCTACGTGACCCACAAAAGGCCAGAGTCAGGAGCAACCCTCGAGGTGGGTCGCTCATATTTTTGTATCGCGCGCCTTGCGGGGGGGGGCGCGGAAAAGAGGAACCTCTTAGCGCCATCGCCACGGTGCTGCATGCAGCGCCGGGCGACGACGGCTTACCGCCTCCCGGTCCCCCTCGGCACACCTCCGCTGCTCAATGTTTGACGGCTCGAACCCGTGAAGCTTCCCCGTGCGCGGGTTACCCCGCACACGGGTCAGCCTGCCAGCCACGTATCCACGCAGGCGTGGTCCGCGTGCATGGCATACAGGCGTCCGCCAGACAGCGCAGAGGCTAGGCGACCGGGGAAGGACTAGCTCTCGAGACTAGCTCAAGGGCAACACAGACAGCGTCACCAGCCGTTGGCGCGCAGAACGAGTCTGCGGCCCTCGGTTGGGACGAACTCAACAGTAGCGGAGTAGGAATCTGCGATATCCCAGGTCATAGGAGTGTCATTTTGTACCACCCCCCCTACTTCGCGTGGGGACCCCCCCGCCGGTCGGTTATCTGCCCCCGAGGTGGAACCGAACCGCGGACGTTCTCCGGTCCGTCTCTCGCGCGGCAAACCAGACCCTGCAATACCGACGCCGCACACTTTCTCTGCAGGCCGATAACCGCCGTAGCCGCCACCTGTGCCGCCGCCCGCGCAGCCGCCACGCCATGCTGCTCGATCTCGCGATCGCCGTGGCCATCACGGTGGTGAGTAAGGTCTTCATCGACGCGGGCGCCAACGACGGGGAGACCACGCTGCGCTTCTACGACGGCTCGCGGAGTGACCGCGCGGATTTCTCGGCATTCATGTTTGAGGTCAACCCCAAGCTCCTCCCGAAGGTCAACCAGGTGCGGCAGCAGTTGGCAGCGGGCGGCGTAGTCGCATACGTCAAGACAGAGGCTGTTTGGATCGCCAATGGCAGCATGGAGCTCCAGACCGACACCCGGGAGGTGGCCACTGGCTCGTCCTTGTTCACCTCTTCCCCGTATGCGAAAGGGCCGGCGCTGCAGGTGCCAACGATCGACCTCAGCACATGGTTGCAGGAGAACTTCTCCGAAGAGTACATTTCCCTCAAGCTGGACATTGAAGGCGCTGAGTACGAGGTGCTGAGGAAAATGACGCTCGACGGCACGCTCTGCCTTCCCGCCGAGCTGAAGCTTGAGGGCCACGCGCGCTTCCGCCCGGACGTGGAGAAGGCGTGCTGCGCCCACAAGGCTCGTGACAGTCGGCCTCTCGTCCCCTACGACAAGTTTGGCTGCTGCGGGCGTCAGATTGAGCAGATGATCAAGCTTGTATGCCCTGCGACCATCATCCAGGCGCAGTTCAACTACTCGTCGCCGTATAACGGCGACGCCCCCACCGCTGCTGCACGCGCGAGAGCTGAGCTCCGAACGCACCTCCATGATGCTGGGGCGCCGAGTTCGCTGCTCGAAGTCCTTCGCCACGGTCGCGCATGCGAGGTGCACGCTTTCAAGGGGCTCTCGTCGGAAGACACGCACCTTAAAAGCCGTCTGCCCGCGCTATCATGGTTGAAATCGGGGTGCGCACGACCACAGCCGCGCATCTTTCTACATTCGACGATCGCAACCACCGCTGATCGCTTTGCTCTGCTAGACCACTTCCTAATGCACTACAGGCATGAGCTTGGCATCGCGGCGGAACGCTGCGTGCTCATCCTGCAGCGGCCGGACCAATCTTGGAAGGACAGGAAGAAGTGGACCTCGCTCCTCCGCCGGTACGCCATCGGCTCCTTTCATGAATGGGTTGGCGAGTACGACTCTGCCACGATGATGAAATTGCGTAAAGAGTACCTACACCAGCGCGGAGTGCGTGGCGACGATTGGTTGCTGCACGTGGACAGCGATATGCTAATTGAACTGCCAGCGTGGGCGCCCACGCTCCACCGGTTGATCGAACGAGCTGTGGTTACCAGCAATGCGACGGCCATTTTGGCATTATACGTCGACCGTGTTTCCGCAGACGGGTCGATCCCGTCGTCGATTGCGCCACCGCCCGCATCACTCTGGGAGCAGTTCCCGCTCCAGTGCGACGTGTCAGTAAGCATCATCAAAGCGGGGCAGGGTCAAAAGGTTGTGCTCTACCGCGGTGACCTCAGCGCCAATCGGGGGGGCGGACAGATCATCGATGCCGATGCGCACTACTCCGACATGCCCCCCCTCCGCGCTCACCATTTCAAGTTCTTTGGTAACTTGCGTGAGTACCTCGAGAAGCGCATCGCGCGTTACAAGAGCCTGCATATGAAGTGGTGGGATCAGAGCCAGAGGCTGCTCGACACCCTCAAAAAGCACGCTGGCATCCCCGTTGTTGGGGTTTGCAACCAGCCCACCCACCAAGCCAAGGCATCAAGCGCGGCCCCGACTTGGCTTGCGGATCGCACGGCTCGGGAATCGGCTTCGGAATCGCACGCCGCCGCGACGCTCCACCGGAGCGAACCGACATTCGTGGCGCCTGTCACGCACGGTCCTCACCACCACTTCTTCGGTTACTTCGACAAGTCGCCATGGTCGGCAGCTGAGTCGCAGATGCTTGCTATGCGCTATCTGCCTAACGCCGCGGGGCTGCGCTCGGAGCCAACATCGTCATCGCCCGAGCTTGAGCTCGGCGTCCTCGACCTGCGCAAAGATGAATCCACAGCTGCGGGCGGGGATGCAGTGCCCACCTACCGGTGGCGTAATCTCAGCCGCACGTCCACGTGGAACTACCAACAGGGTTGCCAACTGCAGTGGCTTGGCCGTGGTACAAAGCAGATTGAGCACACAGTCATCTTCAACACACGTAGCGCCAACGCGGTCCAAGCAGTCGTCATGGACGTTCGCAAGCCGACGGTGGTTGCACGGCTGCCGTCGTCCGTCTACGCCGTCACACCATGCGGCAGCTACGCCCTCACTCTCGACTATGCCCGGTTACACAAGGCGCGCCGGGGCTACGGCTATCCCGGCCTTTCGACCCACACGCTTAACCAGCCGCTGCCAAGCTCTGACGGCATATGGCTGGTTCCGATTCGTCCAAACCTGCCAGCAAAGCATCCGGCTGCGCTGCCAAACCTCCTCTCGACGCCCGTGCTGGTGTTATCTACCGCTACTCTTCACGCAGCTCAGCCGAACAAGGCGTGTGCATCAGGCTACCACTAGTGCGTGTGAATGAACTTTAGTGATAGTTTAGTGCGCTATTTAGTGCGTGTTCGAGTGCGTATATAGTGCGACTTTAACGCAAATTTAGTGCAAATTTAGTGCAAATTTAGTGCAAATTTAGCACATATTTAGTGTGTTTTATCTCCAATTTAGCGCCACATTTAGTTCACTTTAGGTGCGGGCAGCTGCAGTACATTTAGTGTGGGTCCCGCATCTTTAGTGCGGGCACGCACCTTTAGCACGGCTTCCCGGCCACACCACAGCTAGCCAGGGCCGCGTGCTTTGCTCCTTGGCTGCCAAGAATGCACCACAGGAGATGCCTGGCCCCTGCCCTCATGACCCAAAGGCAGGCTCCCAGTGAGGCTAGATATGCCGCCCTCCAGAGCAAGATCTCCCGACTGAGCACAGGCACAGCACCGATTCCCGAGAGGAGGACCAGCACAGTTGAATGCGCCACGCTTCCCGGCAATCGTTTTGCCGCTCGGCGGGCCCGGAGAAGCAGCCCGGAAAGCACCTTTTAGGCTGATATCAGCAGGTTTACTTCGCTCGGTTGGGGATGGGACGGGGAACTTTTGCGAGTGGGCAGGGAACTGCAGGGGGAGAGGGGGAGGGAGGCCCAGGGAGGGGCTGCGGCTGGATCCTACTGCGCGGCTGGACTAAAGACGCACTAAACCTCGCTAAATCTGGATGTAAAGTCGACTAAATTTGCGCTAAATTTGCGCTAAATTTGCACTAAAGTTGCACTAAATTCGCACTAAATTCGCGCTAAAGTGCACTAAAGATGCAGTACATAAACACTTCACACCGCACTAAATTTAGACCCAGGCGCCCTCCGCTAAGGCGAATCTCGGCTCATCTCGCGCCCTCGGCTGTCGGCCGAAGCGCTCTCTCGATAGGCGTGAGTGCTGCCGCAGACGCTGCCGCGGCCGCTGCGGCCGCTGCGCTCGCTAGCGGCCCGCGCCGAGGAGCTCTCGGCGCTGGCAGCGCGCGCCTACGGGAAGTATCCGAGACAGTTCCTAGAAGGTGCATCGAGAGAGCAGTTGTGTGTGTTGGCGCTGCGCACAGAGCGCTCGGCAGGCTTGTGCGCCGTCCGACCGGCGGCTGGGCCGCCGCACGAGGGAGTGCGGTGGTCCTCGCGCAGCGCAACGAGCGCAGCCAGCTCCGTGTCGACGGGAGAAAGCAGGATCGCGCTCGCGCAAAACGCGCCCTGCCCAAAGGTCGGCCCGACGATGACACCGTTGTCGATGCGCCAAGCCGGGCAGTGGGCGTGGCAGAGGGCCGAGAGGGCGATGATGGCAGCGAGCCCCATCGCGCCGCCGGAGACGAGGCTCAAGGTCCGTGACGTTGACTGGGCTGTCTCTGCGAGCAGCTCAACAGCGAGCCAATGCACGTTGACCGCTCCGACGACGCCAGCCATCGCGACCCGCGCCCTCGTCGCCGAGCCCGGCCTGCACCATGAAGTGGATGCGCCCGTCTCGGTGAGGATGAGCGCAAGGAGGGCGCCGGCAAACGGAATCAAGAACCACCAGCCGACCGAGAGCTCCTCGGCCGAGAGCAGCGGCTCCATCGGCAGAGCTTCGAGGCGGCCGGGTCGACGCGAGAAGCGTGGCTGATGTCGGCACGGCGGCTAGTGAGGCTGGCCGGACCGCACCGATTTGCGGGGACTCCCAAGAGAACTCGGCGCTGCCGCCGGCGGTGCGGGCTCGCTTGCCAGAACAAGAGCGGCAGCGGCTGACTCCAGCTGAAGTTGCTTGCCGGCGATTTCTTTTTCAGTGCAAAGGCTCCTCCTCCTCCCGGGCCCCCGTTCTTAAGTTCATCTTTGGGGGTGGGCCCCGCGCGGGGCCCGCCGGGTGTTCCGGCGAAGTGTCCGGAAAGTCCTGTGGGCCCCGAGAACCAAATATGCCATGGTCCGGCCTTGGCGTTTGTTTCCAAAAAAAAAGGGAGAGAAAGGAAAGCCAAAACCGGACCAACCCCAAGGGGGGGGGAAGGGGGAGGGACCGGCCCCCCCCGC